AAAAAGATGCAATTTACAAGTGTAAGCTGTGCCTGCGTCCAGATGGCATGGTGAACCTTGCACTATGCACATGTACTGCTGGCTTGGGTGGTGTGTGCAACCATATTGCAGCCTTGCTCTATGCACTTGAGGAGTATGTGCGCATTGGGCTACGTGAGGAAGTTGACGATTCCCCACTTTGCAGGTGGAACTGACCCAGGCCTAGGAACGTCGTTCCTCAGCCAATTGTCGACGTCAGGCTGACAAAGGCTGCATTTGGCTCCCAGCGTCAGTCTGAAAAGCGTAAACCCGTGTATAACCCCATCCCACCGAACAAGCGTCTCGTCAAGCCTTCAGAGTTGACAACGTTTCGTGATGACCTGGTTGCAGCCCACGATGATGCCATATATCCGCACTAACACACCACCACAAAATGCATCCGCACACAAATATCCGGACAAACAATGGCCATGCTGCTGTGTCTGCGCTGTTCATATACTGTTTATCATAATAATACATCACTCCGTATCTGTCTTTTCATGAAATGGTATCACGATAGTGTGACTCCACCGAATTATCTGCATGTATTTTTTTAGTACTAGTAAATGCTTGGCTAAAATTCCCAAGCTCAGCTGCAGCTGTGTATAGTAATACAACTGTCTGATGAGTGTTATTTTCAATCACGAAGTTTTGAGTATCGAAAAAGAAAGACTTGCTTGTGTCATTGCCTTGTGAGAATTGTATTTTTAGTACATATATACAGAAGTACCCATCGTAGCAAGTACCGGCACGACAGAGTAAACGTTCGTCAATAAGTTCAAATGTATATACATGTATCAGCCATAAGCTGTACTATTATGCAAACAAGTTGTAATAATAGTGTCTGGATGAAGTTTTTATGCCACCAACAAGCCCTGGAAATTAGTCAACATTGCGCACACGTAAATAAGCTGGTCTAGAATGTCAAACATAGTATTATCAACTTCCTTGCCAACGATCTCAAAGCACTTGATCCTCTGCATTTTCCTTTCTACATGAATCCGTACAGCAGCAATTTTCTTTGTACCACACAAGATCTTGAGGGGTCATTTGGCGTCCTCCTTGGCGAAATGGGGGGATGTTCAGGCGGACCCCATGGCTAACAAGAAGATCTTGTATGTCAAAACCTTTGTCTGCCATAATGGAATCGCCATGCTCTAATAAACTGATTAGGCCGCTCTGTTCTGTGATGGCACGATCCGACACAGATCCTTCGAATACTTTCGAAACAAATGTCACATGGCCATGCGGTGCAATGCCGATAAGGCATTTTACCGTGTTGTGGTTCTTGTACGCCGACCACGTAGCACTCTGCCGCGCCAGCGATGATGGGATGTTAATGAAAAACTCTGTGCAGTCAATCACAACACAAGTTGTTGCATACCACTGCTTGAATGCAGGTGGCATCAATTTGTCTATTCTTCTCCTTGAAAGACAAGATGGAAGTTGACGAAACTTATGGTACATTAAATTTACCCAGGTTGTGACAGTGCGCGAGACAGTGGATGGGTGGACTTTAAACCTGTCGGCAAGGTCAACTTCTTTCAGTCCAAGACGAAGACGAACGAGGACGAGAAAGAACTGCTCCATCAGCTCTAGCTTCGGTTTACTGCCTGGTTTGCTGCCGTGTTGCATCGCGTCATCAGGTGCCGTCCGTGAACCCATCCACGTCCGCACCACCTTGGCGGAATCGTGCAGAAAGTTGAAGCACGCCATGAACATAAGGAACGATGAAAATCCAGTGTAGAAAGACAATAATTTCTGGTTATTTTTTACTCTGTGGATAGAGAACACATGTCTCTCTGCATCATTTAACTTGGCTTCCATGTCCTCTGTGGCCAAGCAACGACTTTTGAGGACCTCGTTCTCACTCTTGAGCAAATCCACTTCTGCTCTCAGCATTTCAACACATTCACAGTGCTGGTGTTCAACTGGTACTACATATACGTCTGGGGAGTCATCTGCAGAAGGGACAACATCAGTGGCAGTTGCAAACTGGGTGATGACACTGGAGGCGCCTTGAGCTGATGGCTTTGCCTTCTTTGCCGAGGGCAGCGCGTGTCTTTCTGCTGGTGGCTTGCGTTTAGTCACTTCAGCCAAGTTCAGGGCGAAAATGGAAAATCGTAGGTACGGCAGTTGGCAGAAGCCTTCGGCGAGTCTGTTGTGACTTCTTCTGCTCGGACGGTCGCTTGTGTGCTCCTGCGTGATATACCTCATCCGCGAAGTGCCGAGAACGCACTTTCGTGTGCTTCGTGATGGTGAAAGCGGCTCCTACATTCCTATGAATGTTGGCGATCCAACGCTTTCTCAGGTCTTTGTCTTCAGGAAAACTGTGGAATGCGACTGCGTCGTCTCCAGGTTTTCCGCTGTTGGAAACACACTGCGGAACACAGCAGTGATGAGGCATACTGTCGACAGGCTTATACAGGATACAGATCCACGCAGAACTACAGCAAGCCGTCAAAATACGACCAACCTATCAAACAAAATCAAACCACTTCAGCTTCTTCTCCAACTCGAGTCATGTCAAGGACACCCATTAGGTTTGAAAATGACCGTTACGCGATGATGTCATCGTCTAACGCGCAAAAGGACTATGACTGAGTGTTGGACAATGACTATCATTACTTGTAATATTACTACTCAGTATATTAGAGTTTGCACGCTTCTTCCCATGGACCATCAGATCTGCAGAGTAGATAACTTATAATCATGATAACCATGCTAACGGTGATTACTGCCCATCGTTGCTCTACAGTAGTATTGCTGCAGGTGATTGATAGCGGATCCGATGAATACGTCGCTCGCGGCATCCTGTGATCTCCTCGGCTTGAAGTCATCAACTCGTGTCTGTGCAGCATGACATAATGGATTGTCCCAGAATTAGCCGTGGAGTATTCGCCTACGTCCAAGGGAGTTCAGGCAACTGACATGTACATACGGTACGCGAGAACACAGGAAACAGCCTTCGGAACACCAGATGATAATCCTGCTGCTGCTGCCCGTCAAAGCATGTATCTACCAGCCGCGGAAGGCCTGGCAAGGGCCCCGAAGGCGCGAGAAACAGACAAGGGTTGAACTGCCATCATCAAAATAGTGATTGTCGCATTTGTTGGCATGCGCGCATGCATTATCTACCGCAATGGGTTCATGATCAGGTGTACATTGAAGGTTCCTCTTCCCTGGCAGTGACAATGCACGACCTGACATTGGCAGTATCCCTCGAACGCACAGGGCCGGTCGCTCGCCTGAAAAGGGAGAACTGCAAATCGAAGTGCATCGACGTGCTCTACAAGTGGTCGATGAAGGGATGTTTATACCTTTAATAAACTTCACCAGAGACCGCTGCAGCCAGCGATCGCTGTTGGGGGTTTTAGCCGATCCTATCGGCTGCAATGCAGCATAGTCATAGTAGATCTACGTTATGCTGCTGACAACCCGCGTAACACGAAACCCAGATGATGTGTTAATTGCTGCCATTGGCGATGACAAAATCCCGTGAGGGAGCACAACACGTTGTCTTCCTGTGTGTATGTCTCGTGCCAATGCCATGTTGAACGCATGTCCACGTGCCTCAGACGGTCATGCGCTGAGCAATGCTAAAATGTCCAGGAACTACTGCTAGTGATTATCACCTTGCTGAGTGGCTGCTGCAGCTGGACGCCCCTTCGGGCGGCGTAGATCTACTGCTCAGCGATGACACCGAGACAATAATAATTACTATTGCTTTCTGGCCAGCACCCCGCCTCTTCACACCTCTCTCCCGGTCCAGCGCGACCACCATGATCACCCAGCGTCCCCAGACCCAAGCCCAAGGTGAATATCAGGGAGTGCTTTTTCAGTACCCTCTGCCTCTGGTGAAGCACAGCACACTTGTAGTTACTGTTGTACTTCGCGCAGAACTAACCATTTCCAACCACCAAGACTCTTGGCAAGAGTGGTTGCAAAACTGGCACGTCTGCGTTGCACGTTGGTTTGTTGCACACAGATGTGCACATAACTACTTGTCATAAGCCTCCCAATCATGACATGTTCACACTTGTGCTTACCATATATAGCGCACGCTCATTGGTTAAAACTTAAAAGTTTGACTTTGCCATCGTCGCCTTCAAAACAGTCATACATGCAGGACACGTACACGTCGACTGCACCAAGCTACCTGTACATGTACAGTGGATATCGGTTATAAAGTCATCGGACATAGTGATAAACCGGCTATATTGATACAAAATGAAAATATCAAAAGCAAAACCAGAAAAAGCCAGTCAAATTATCATTATAACCAATATATCGGATATAGCGATAAATCGGCTATAAGGATACAGAATCACCATTCAAAACATCTCTTTGTGCAGAACAAATATCGTCTATAATGATAGCAACACTCGAGTGTGAGGCATTGACGTCTCGACTTGGAGCCACATGTGTGTTTTCATAGTGTATTCTGGTCTGATGCTTCCTGGATGATGCCTTTGGGCCAAGAAGTTCTTCACTCTAGACTGGGGAAGGTGCAGCAGCATGCATTCTGTATCAGTACACTACATTAGCGCGATCGAGTACCCACACGTGTATAATGTGTATGTAAGACGAGCGCAGTTGAAAATCGCCAGTAGTGATATACCGGTTATAGTGATAAAATGTGAAAAATCAGAAGGGCACGTTATAACCAATATCTACTGTACACGAATACTGTATTGTACACACACTGAGTACATCCCATCGCCATCGGGCCGGGAGTAACATTGTAACATGTAGCTCCACCGGTGCGTATACCACGAGTAGATGCGCGCAGACAGACCTACACCGTCCTGCCAAGTATACTGCTAGTAGCAAGTAGATCTCGAACCATGATAACGGGCTATTTCTGTTTGCAGTTTTCTCCATTTCTCCTGTTGACCTCATTCGGCCTATTTCAAAGGTTTTTCTCCAGAGCGACCTCATATTCTCAAGGTTAGTATTTCTGCTTGTATGGTTTGCCTATATCTGTACGAGTGCTCGTATTTCGTCTGTCCAATTGCTATACAGCACGAAGAGGGTCCCGCAGTTGCCTTTCCGCACGTCCAGGAAGCTTGTGACTGGCTGAAACGCGGTCCCGGCGCTCAGCAGCCGGTAACTTGTCGTCGAAGTAGCATTGGCCAGTGCAGACCAAGCTACTAGCCGTAATGGTCGAGATGTGTATTACTTGAACTACGATAGCCTGCTCGTTTCGTATATTCGTCGTTCGGGATGGACGCAGTACTGCAGAGAATCGGCGCGGCGTTAGCATAATAATTGAAGGTACAAGGTGGCGTGCGTTTGCGCCCCGCCAAAACGCCGACATCACTAGCTCAGCTGGCAAACGTGGGAGACCGTGGAGCATGGAATACCTCTTTGCTCAACTGCACCGCAGTAGATGCTCTTCCACTGACTCGTCCACCTGAGGTAGGCCGCACCACGACTTACTTACAGCGCAATGTAATGTACGACGGGAGAGCAAGCGTAGCCAGGCCCCGAACTAACTCGTCCTGAACGCATGATTGCCTACCAAGCCAACATACATCGATGCGCCGTCACACCGCAGCACAAACGTCAGCCCAGGGCCTCAACGGCAGGTAGCCAGTTCGCTTTATAGAAACATTGCCTGATCTAATGCAGCCCCCAGCGTAGAGCTGTGTCTGGACAAACCTGGAGGGTTTTCTGCACGTCAAGAAGAAGAATTCTTTCCAGCCCTGACATGTAGACCTGGCTCGAACCCTGACCCCTGCGGAGCTGTTGCCCCAGCAAGCCAGAGGTGCTGAGCGCGACTGCTAAACCTTTCATCCTTGCTTTATACCTTGGATCGCGGGCCAGAGGATTACTAGTAGTGCTAGTGGTTGTTCTGCTGCTGCTGCAACGAGCGCTAATGAGTGTCGAGGTGTTGGATGTTTTTGTGCATCGTGGGGCTCTGCTAAGCTGAATTCGTAGTGCGGTAGGGATTGAACACTGGAGCACATGAAGTGAACAGCAGGTGTATCTCTAGCTCGTGTTTGGGGATTCAACGGTGTCCCTTTCAACACTCGGCAATGGAACTGGATAGAGCAAGTCGCTGAAACTGCCGAAGTGTTGCTTCTCAACGGTCCCAGGCTTTCATCTCGCCTCCCACTGCCAGTCATCTTCTGTGCGTGTGTGTGTGTGTGTGTGTGTGCAGTGTGACCACACTGGTTTGTGCATTGACACCTTGTCTGCTCAGTACGTCCAACCGTGCAAACATGGCGGAGGAAACCAAAGCGGACGGAGAACAGCAAGCGGCCGCCTCGCCTCCCTCCACTCCCAGAGAGGATGGCACGGCGTCGCCAGCTCCGACTGTTTCCGAAACGAAAATTGTTTATCACATCGGCACGCAGGACATGCCCTACTTAGTGAAAGTCGCCAAAACCGTTGACAAGGTGACGCTGCTGGATTTCAAGAATTCGCTCAGTCGTCCGCTGGCGAACACAAAGTTTTTCTTCAAGACCATCGACGAGGATATTGGGTAAGGCAACTCCATGTTCGTGGATAATTTTCCATGTTTTCCCTCGGAATAAGTAGAACGGTAATTGGTACAGAAGGTGGTAATCGTGTTCTCCGTATAGTGGTGCATGCGAGTTAGTTATCTTGGCGCCGATGCTGCCGTAGATATTGTAGATAGTATGTCGGCTGCTTTCGTCAGCAGGCGTCGGCAACAGACTACCACTTGTCTCCTCCTGGCTGTCGACAATTGCCAGTTTGGAACAGGTGCGGGTATCCCAGTCGAAATACGTCCCTAACTGCCTTCCGTAACTGGCTAAGCCTCCGCGACCAGCTGCGATTCGCAGACGAGCGTTGCCTGCGGGCCTAATCACCTGACAAAAATTGCATTGCAAGTGCCCGTTTGCCCGCGAAGTGAGTGCATAGTGGCAGTGTTCTGCATGCAGTGTGACACAGCAGTTCACACGGTTCACCCGTGCGTGACTGCATTGTGTTGCTGAGAGAGAGAGAGAGAGTCTAGAGAGAGCTGGGACTTTTCATTACTTCGTCTTGTCTTTGTCACGGAAACATGATTTTCAGAGTGCATACTTGAATAAATTATGAATTTCTACAATAAGGATAGGCTAGCTTCAATGTTGTTTATCAACAGAAATAAAAAGCACAGCTTTTCTTCGTGGAGCTGAATGTACACGCAAATTTGAGGCGAGGATGTGCTGCATTTTAATCCTCTCCGAAAACATACAGCGTGCTAGAATGGGTGCCTGTCGAATCCTCGATGCCTGACGTGTCAAACTTCATTAGCAGAGCCACTCGTGTCTGCGTGGCTGATTTCCGATCAATAAGGCAGCACCATTGCTACATGGATGTCATGTTCTAGGAGATTAGCGAGGCGACGAAGCCCGTCGGGGGCGATACAAACCCACTAAAGAAGTTAGTAGTACCACCGAAACCCGATTAGTGAACCAGCGCAGCGGGTTAGGAAACTAGCCAGAACTGAAGAAAACCTGAGATCATTGCGATGGTGAGTCCGACCGACCGTTGAACGTGTCAGACGATGTAAGCCTAAACTAGTCGCTGTCAACTCTTGACAAAGCAAAGGTGATTTGGGCTCACTGTGTGTATTCCGAACGGATGTGTCTTGTTGGAATGCAGCGTGGTCAAGGAGGAAATCGAGAGCGACGACTCCGTGTTACCGTCCGAGAAAGGTCGCATCGTTGCGTGGGTAAGAATCATCGCATGGTTTGTCGCGACAGTGCACTTGTCAAACTGGAACTTGATACTGATCATGGTGGGCAGACACTTGATCTAAGATTTTGTACAGTCGTGGCCAAAGAAATCCGGCCCACGACCCATAGACGTTCCAAGGATACCAAGACCACCTTCCTGCTGCCTATGGGGGTACGTCTTATCAGAATGCTACTGTACGTACATTGTCCTAGCATTATGACTGTATGAGTATGTTGGTGTTGGCGTCCGGAAGATGGCAGATGTGCCATGCAAGGCCATTACTGTTATGGCTGCGGAGTGCCTGCCAACAAAACCCAACTACTGGTCGAGTCGCGACATTTAGCAAACGGAATGCGTCTGGGAATGACTACCTGTAGTCCCCCAACCTAATGTTAGTTGACATGTCCACCAATCAAAACTTGGTATAGTTTGAAGTTTGGTGATGTGTGATTTCTGGAAGCGATGAACATAGACTCTACATGTATGGTCAGCAATCAACAGCCAGTGACTCTACAATACTCACATAGCAATGACAAAACCAAGTCCTTTTCTGCTGTTGCTCAGAGTTTCGTGTGAACAAAGCACTCATCAGACAGCATCAGAGAAGGATGTGTCATTGCTGTGTGAGAATTGTATCACTGGCTCTATCTATGGGACACAGAGCACTATGCAGCCTGATGGGGACACAGAGCACTATGCAGCCTGATGGGGACACAGAGCACTATGCAGTCTGATGGGGACACAGAGCACTGTGCAGTCTGACGGGGACACAGAGCACTATGCAGCCTGATGGGGACACAGAGCACTATGCAGCCTGATGGGGACACAGAGCACTATGCAGCCTCATGGTCTTAGACAACTGACAGTGACTCTATGGCTATGTCCGTGATTGTACAGCTTGTTCGCAATGATCCTGCACCGTCAGAAGGTTCTGATAAGTCGTCCAACGGTGGCTCGGCACCGGATCTGGTCAAACAAGTCACCTCCAGACAGGTCAAGCACTATCCGTCATCGGCTTCGAATAGGTAGGAAGCCTTTGGCAATGGCTGATAAACTTTGCTTTACTCATCCCTCCTTCTCTTCTCCTCTTCTCTCCCTCCGTCACTTCCTGCTTAAATAAAAATTAGCCGTAGCATGATTCCTGCTGAAACCCGTGTACGAGGTACTGGCAAGCTACAGCAGTTGTTTTTCTCGTCTTACCACCATACCATAATCTTGGTCTTTGATCATGGAAACTGTTACCATAATCTCCTGTATTCATGGCCTACTTTTCTCGTCTTCTTGTCCATGTTAAGTAGAAAGCGCTCCTCAACGAGCGATCTTTCGTCGTCGGGACGGAAGTCCGATGGTGATTGCTTGAGCCTTGGCTCTGCTCTCTCCGATGATGACGCACGGTCGAGGCGCAGCGGTCGTCATCGCCAGTCCAGCAGATCTGGTGAGCATTGCTCCCTTGTTCGGGTCTCATCACAATCAGCCACATGGCCAACAAAGTCACAGTCTTGTGCTGTCAGGATATACTTCTTGCTCAACCTTTGCCAGAATAAGCCCTCGAGGTTTCCTTGTTAGCTACCTGCCACACGTCACAGTGTTAAAGCAGACGCTGCACTCCAATCCATTATGTGTGCTTGGCATAAGAAGCCTTGAAAGTTGAAACTGTTCATTTGATGTCAGCAAAGCTCCCATGGTTATCACCACTGGAAAGCACTGATTGTAATACAAGGCATAGGAATCAGAACGGAACTATTATCTTTGCCCTTCATTTGCTGAGAAAAATTTCTCACTCGTAAAGCTTGAGGATATGTACTCGTAGAGAGACATCTTCATCCTGAGGACCAATTGTTGCCAGCATGACTAACTAGAGGCCCTGCTCTACGCTGATAGTCCAAAGAGAGCTGCAAAGGGACAGTGACTAAAACGATGTGACTGCTACCATCATCAGTAAGACTAAGGTACATTTTCTTTTTTTTCTTTTTTGTGCTCAGGATATCGGAAATGCTCATCAGGTGAGTAAGGGTGAAGGAATGAAAGAGGGAGAGAGAGTGTGTGGTTGTACACATGCACACGTGTGTACATTCCAAGATGATTTTCTTGGAACGCATCCATACATGTCATGTTTGCCGTGTCCAGCACAGCATGCGGTGCAGGTGTGCACTTGGTTCCCTCGTGCTCACATTCTGAATAGCATTGGCATACAACCACTCTGTGTTTGCATGCGTATGTGTGTGGGTGTGTTCTTGTTGCCACACCATTGGTGCTCAACTTGTATTCCCAATATCCCTGCCTGCCTTGCCACTGCAGGTACAGCTAGTGACAGTGGTAGCAGTGTGGATAGGAGAAGACGCAGACAAGTGCGCACGTCAGGTAAGTGAAGCAAGCCAGTATCCCCAAGACTTGAAAAAGAACATTTCTTGTACTGTTGAGAAGTGCTGGAGTATGGCTGGAATCCGACTCTGCATGCATTGCGTGCATGGCCCAGGGGAAAGGCATCAAGGAAGAAGCATTGAGCGCCGCCTTCACTATGTGGAAAGGCTATAATTGTGGTTGTAACTCCCAGTGGAGTTTCGTTTGACTGGAAGCAAAATGTTAGAAATGCTGTAGAACAAGCTCCGACGCAGTACCCAGTCAAACATACAGATAACCTGAAGATTACCTTCTTCTACTTCCACTCAAACAGCAGACAGAAAGGCTATATACGGTTGCAACTCCACTGGGGAGTTACAACCGTATAGCTTTTTCGTCCACTGTTTGACTGTTCTACCCTCTGCCTCCACGGCATTTTGAGCACTCTTTGCATTCCTCGTAACATGTTCCTTCCTGTATCTCCTGTGTTGCATTGAATGCTGCCACAGGTCATGAGAGTGAGCCGGGACTGTCGGGAACGGAGAGTATGGCAGAGACGATGTCGGTCATGTCCAGTGAGCTGGACGCTAGCAGTTACTTTGAATCTGACTGCAGCAGGTACGTAGGCTGGAGAGATGGTCCATGCGAAAATATTGCATCCTTGTAAGAGAGATGTCGATATCCTAAGAACTGTTATTGACCCTGCAAGTCGACCCTGGACGTCGATCCTGGAAGTCGATCCTGGAAGTCTCTATTTTGATAAAATGCAGTAGAAGTAGGAGTATTGCCATTGTGGCATCAGCTCTCTTTCCGAAAATGCTCTTTATTGCTCTTCTCTATTTCATTCTCTCTCTTTCTTCTGTTCGTTCATCCTTCTATTGTTCCTTTCTGTGCTCTCTCTCTCTCCTTTTTGCATCTATGCTTCAGCCGGGTCAGCTGTTCCGATGTTCAAAGTGTCCGCTCTGCTCGGTTTCGCTCGCGACGCAAACGCAAACACTTACCTCGGGTAAGTGAAGCATGTGCATGCGTGCCAGAAAGGGAGTTCCCCTAATGCCCTGTGCTAGTAGGAGTGCATTCTCTTTATGTGATCATGCGGATGTAGAAACGCCCATCTGACTGTCATGTGAGCCGTGAAGCAATAAGTTAAGAGAAGGGGGAGATGGATGCAATACCTCTCGCACTCTTACCGTGTTGTGTTTGTGTAGTGGAAAGTGATAACAATGTTTTGGATTCTGAATACCGTGTGTCTGTGTGTCGGTCTGCATTTGTGTACACCTGTGTAAGTGCCCGTGCATAATGACAATAACCTGTATGCATGCCCACTATGTGTTCGTTTCCACAGTATGAATCGTACAGCAGTGTGACAGAATCCACCGTGGAGTCCCTGAACATACTCACTGTCACACTGGATATGGGTAAGCAATGTGTGTGTGTGTGTGTGTGTGTGGGTGCGTGCGTGCGTGCGTGCGCGCGGGGGGGCGCGGGCGCGCGTGCGTGTATATATGTGTATGTGTCCAACCTGTCGGAAGGTTACCCTCTTGCCAAAGCATTTTGGAAGTAAGTTGGACTAGTTTCGGCTCCACAATCCAGTGTGTCGTTACTATAGCTTTCATGGCTGAGGTTGTTGGTACGTCTGTTGGCCCTGGGTTCCCAGTACCCAGTTGCCGAGGCTGGTTGGTAAAATAACTCCAATTTCACTTCAAGGTACCAGTGCATCTAGTGTCTGCTTTTATCAAAGCAGCGTGCTGTCTATACTGGTTATCCCAGCAAGTGTAGGGTGTGCATAGGTAACTGTCTTGGCCGTCCTATTCCGGTGTACTCCGTGTGGTGTAGACCAGGTGTGCATTGGGGGATCGATTCACATGGCTTTGCCAGTTGTGCGGATTAGACAGTTATCTGGCGCTTGTCTTGATCTGTTTCAATCAGAATCAGATACGCTATCGTTGCTATAAAAGGAAAATCTGTGGGTGCACATCCAGTGCATTTGCAGATTTGCGTGCTTCTCTTGCGACGGGTGTATACATGGTACATGGTACATGGTGTGTGTGTGTGTGTGTGTGTGTGTGTGTGTGTGTGTGTGTGTGTGTGTGTGTGTGCGTGTGTGTGTGTGTGTGTGTGGTGTGTGTGTGTGTGTCTGCTAACACTCTTTTCACATTGCCAAATACATTTCTGGAGTATGCATGTTGTGCTTTACGTAACCATGAAGACTGAATGGGACCTAGATCAAGGTTTAGAAAGGCCCTGTCTTCCATCCTGATCAGCTGGTACCTACACATATCTGTAGTTCTGTCCTTCGGTATGGTGTTGGTCACGAAGCGAAAGCCAACCTCGAGAATACGAACAGCTCAAGGGTGGCATGGCCCCACAGGCCAGTGACTGCTGGACTATGCATGGACAGTGGATTGAGAACAGCTCCGAGTTTATTCGTGACGTCAGACTTCACTTGCGGTATACCGCTGTTCACGATCATAAACATATTTCTAGTACAGTCAGACCTCACTTATCTGATCCTCTTTTTTCCGGATCATGGTCTTCACCATCCGGAAGAAAATCGTTGGTTACCAATTTACAGCATATGTCATGCATACATACAGTATGTGTGTTCGATTTTCCGGTTCCCTCGCCTATCCGGATATTTTTGTGGAAAACAGATGTGTGCGGTTAAGCGAGGTCTGGCTGTATGTGGTGTTCCATGCGGTTGCAATCGTGTAACTTGCCTGTATTGTGCTCCTTGTTGTCTGCAGAAAATGTCAACTTTCTTGGAATCAGCATTGTCGGACAGAGCAATGATGATGGAGATGGCGGCATATTTGTAGGCTCTGTCATGAAAGGGTAATGCCAAGTTTGGGTATCACCAACCCGTATTTACTATTGTTTTCGTGTGTGTGTGTTGGGGGGGGGGGGCATTTGTGCTGGTGAATCTAAGAAGGAGGTGGGTAGATTGTTAACAGAGATCTCTGTCCTATTACTGTTGATGGAATCTGAACAGACTTGTTATAATTTTCATGCATTTGGTTACGTATGAATTTTTTTAAAGGTTACAGCAGCCTACTTGTGGACATGTAAATAAGATCTGTTTACCAGGATGGTGGGTTGCTTAGCCGGTTCAAAAATTTCCTTGACGCCTGATTTGATGCCATCACCGTGGTCCCGCGTGCATTTCCGTCTGCTCACGCGTGGTGTGCTCTGACCATTTATGTGTGTGCGTGTGTGTGTGTGTGTGTACATGTGTGTGTTCACATGTGTACACGTATGTACATGTGTGTGTGTGTGTATGCACGTGTGTGTGTACGCATGTGTGTATGTGTTTAGAGGTGCTGTTGACCTGGATGGAAGAATAGGCCCTGGCGACATGATACTGCAGGTGAGTGAGGGGTACAGCCACGGGTATGGGACCAAATGCGGCTTCATACATGAAGCATAATTATGTGTGTGTCCTCTACAAGCTTACTCCTGCGTGCCGAAGATGGAAGATAGGAGTACCTGGTATCAAATCTTCCTGGGCCACTAGACATGGAAGTATTGCAGACAGAAATGAGTGCCGCGGAGGTCAGGGGGAGGGGGTATGTACAATGTAGCTGTGTGGTTATGCATACATTCGCGTGCGCCGGTGCCCTTCAAGGGGGTCCCGGGGGGCCTCCCCGGGAACATTTTCAAAAAATGAAGCAAAGTCTTGCATTTTGAGCGAAAAAAGGGGGGTTCCGGGCACCCAGGAACCCATACGGGGCACGCGCCTGGTATACATGGATGCTTCTCTCTCTCTCTCTCTCTCTCTCTCTCTCTTTCTCTCTTTCTCTCTTTCTCTCTCCCTCTCTCTCTCTCTCTCTCTCTCTCTCTCTCTCTCTAATTTCTCTCTCTTCCTCGAAAACAGGTGAATGATGTCAACTTTGAGGAGCTGAACAATGATTCTGCTGTCAAAGTGATGCGAGACATTGTCAAGACTCCAGGGTATGCTGCAAATTCTATTCTGAAGCCGGTTTGTAATGTACTTGTAGATATAGTTAAGAGAGCATGTCTGAGAAAACCAGAACATATGTGCAAGTCGATCTCTCAGATTTCGGTCAAATTTTGCAGGTAGGTTTGCTTTGGGGTGTAGATCGACATTCCAAAGCCCGCACAAAATCTTTTGAAGGGAACCATGAAATTGGCATACCCCTCAATATTGGCCCAATATTGGCACGATTTATGGGTCTACAAACGAGCCACGGCACAGCGTACAAGAACAAGCTACGAACAAAACTCCATCAAGCCATCATTACCTCACCTTAGAAGAGTTCTTGGGGCAGCACCACTTAGCCACGCCAGCATCCCAGAAGACGAGGGAAATCATCCCTTGACGCCACAAATGATCGTCTTGAAAATAGCCAAATTACAAGCGCTGATAAAACAGCGAGCTACGTCCTCAATTAGCAAACACTATACACCGGCAGATAGTAGAACACCTCTTCTAGCACTGAGGACATGTCCCCCATCATCCTTTTGGGGTTTTCTTGAAATAAACAATTTTGAATTTTTCCACTCGACCATTCTGAAATACGTCCAAACTCATACCTGCGCAGGAAAGCTCGCCCCTCCGCGACGTCTAGTCAGCAATTTCTACTCCAACACCACTCCCAACGCTGCAGAACAAAGTGTATTGTTGACTCTGACAAGGAAAAGCAGCGGTGATCACTTGTCACTCCAAACGACAAGCTTCTCCTTGCGCCACCAACATTTTTCGTTGCAACAGTTGATGCAAAAGTGACTGAATTTTTGCGTGTAGTTTTTGGATTTTACTGCAAGAGGAATGAAGAAATCACGTGGATCGTGACGTAGAATAATGCTTTCTGGTACACGACACAATGCACACGATCACGATCGTTCCTGAGGCGCTATTCGAAACGGACCATGAGGGAGGAGGTAAGATGCATTATATTTCTTGCATGCTCTGCTCAGAACATGCAGAAACTATCGTTATAACGCTAGCAGTATTGCATTGGCAAGAATTCTTGGAGATATTTCCTCTTGCAGTAAGAACAGGGATGCATTTTTTCACACTAACCTCGCTCATCCCGAACATGGTTCAGCAGGAACTACGGCTGGTTTACATGCTGATGATCCACGTAGATCTGCAACAGCAAGGAATGAGCGTGGTCCATGCCATCAAGGTCGTTTGGAGTTGACCAGCGCGCGGCCAACACTAGTTGCATGAAGTATGTGGCGCGGCCACATGGCAGATTTCTTACGTCATGAACAACGTGATTTGACCCTACTCGCCGCCCGTCTCTGTGCTGCATGTAGAGGGAAAGTCCCAGCTGGAAGGCCTACAACACGACATGCGGGCTCTTGAGCTGGACATCAAGATGCACTTGATCCGATCTAGATCAACGGGTGATCCATGTGAGTGCAGGAGCGCTTGATCAAGGTGACTCGGAACAACTGCTGAACCGTGATCTACGAGACCTGGCATTCTTGTGTCACGAGGCACGTGATTTCATCATTCCTCTTGCAGTAAAATCCAAAAACTACACGCAAAAATTCAGTCACTTTTGCATCAACTGTTGCAACGAAAAATGTTGGTGGCGCAAGGAGAAGCTTGTCGTTTGGAGTGACAAGTGATCACCGCTGCTTTTCCTTGTCAGAGTCAACAATACACTTTGTTCTGCAGCGTTGGGAGTGGTGTTGGAGTAGAAATTGCTGACTAGACGTCGCGGAGGGGCGAGCTTTCCTGCGCAGGTATGAGTTTGGACGTATTTCAGAATGGTCGAGTGGAAAAATTCAAAATTGTTTATTTCAAGAAAACCCCAAAAGGATGATGGGGGACATGTCCTCAGTGCTAGAAGAGGTGTTCTACTATCTGCCGGTGTATAGTGTTTGCTAATTGAGGACGTAGCTCGCTGTTTTATCAGCGCTTGTAATTTGGCTATTTTCAAGACGATCATTTGTGGCGTCAAGGGATGATTTCCCTCGTCTTCTGGGATGCTGGCGTGGCTAAGTGGTGCTGCCCCAAGAACTCTTCTAAGGTGAGGTAATGATGGCTTGATGGAGTTTTGTTCGTAGCTTGTTCTTGTACGCTGTGCCGTGGCTCGTTTGTAGACCCATAAATCGTGCCAATATTGGGCCAATATTGAGGGGTATGCCAATTTCATGGTTCCCTTCAAAAGATTTTGTGCGGGCTTTGGAATGTCGATCTACACCCCAAAGCAAACCTACCTGCAAAATTTGACCGAAATCTGAGAGATCGACTTGCACATATGTTCTGGTTTTCTCAGACATGCTCTCTTAAGTCATCTCATTTCCAAAGCCGATGCTGTTCAGGACCATTAATATTTTGCAGCAAAAGAGGAGCCTGAAGTGTCTGTCCATCCGAGGTGATCGATTGGGCTATTGTAAAATTGTCAGACATTCCCGTGGCGCAGGAAAGTTGTCCGTGTGAATGTTTACTTGGCTCCAGTCCCGCAGATAAACATTGATGCATTGGAAATGGTGTCCTGTTGTTTCTTTGGCATGTTCTGACCAGCCCCATCACAATCACTGTGGCAAAGTGTTTCGACCCGACTCCAGTCGAGACATTGGAGACGATAAACCCTAGAAGTAAGTATTGGACCTTTTCCAGGTGGTACAGTCACAAGACAACGCGTGTTTTGCATGTCAGAATCATCTTAACTATGGTGTTACAAGTGTGTACATGCACACACACCATTCAAGGTGTATGTCATTCTCCGAGTAACCATTTCAAGCCCAGGTATAATGTTGAACAGAAACACTGACAAGTGCTGAAGGGGGCAACCAGTCATACTGGTGCTCTTCTGCACTTTGGGATTATTGATGAAACCGGGCTTACTGCATTAGCTACATGTATGCAATGGGATTCTGTTCTGACTAGCAAGGCCTATATCCGAGCCCGTGGGGTCAGGCAGTTGCACTACCCAAGGTAAGCTGCTCTGGTTTTCTGCCACTTCACTTTCAGCTGATCCGGTGCATCCTATCGATCCGAGTGCGTGGGTCAAGCATACGCAAGCCATTCAAGGTAACGGAACTCTGTGTGCGAACGTTATACCGTGCATGCATATTCGGTCATTTCAACAATGTTCATTCTCACAGCCATCTCCGGCTTATTGACAATTGTGGTGCGTGTGCGTGTGTGTGCATGTGTGTGTGTGTGTGTGTGTGTGTGTGTGTGTGTGTGTGTGTGTGTGTGTGTGTGTGTGTGTGTGTGTGTGTGTGTGTGTGTGCGTGTGTGTGTGTGAGAGAGAGAGGGGGGGGGGAGCATTTTCATGTACATGTAGCTACATTCTTCACAATTGTATAGCGGGTTCAAGCGCGGATGTGCAAACTTTACTTTACTTTTTGTGCATTCTTTATGCCGTGCATGCCTACTACCACAAGTGACGTTTACACTACACTACTGGTATGTGTACATCTGACTGTAAACCATCATACCTCCACTGCACTAACCTCCCCTGCACTAACCTCCACTGCACTAACCTCCACTGCACTAACCTCCACTGCGCTAACCTCCACTGCACTATTCTATCATTGCTCATTGCCCTGCAGCGCTGTACGGTAGCTACACCGATGGCACGATGAGCAGCATCACGTCGACCAGTTCCGGAACGTCGTTCACCGGATCCGAGCTACCCGAAGCTGATCGTGAGTAGCAGCAGTAGTAATGTGCACTTTTAGAAAACACGAAAGTTATTCCCACTGGCAGTACATGTGCACTTCTGGCCAGAGAAATTCCACCTCGTGAAAAAAAGTAGCGTCGCACACAAGTGCGCAGATTGGTGGTTTAAAGCAAGCAGCTTCCTTTCCGTTACAATGATCCAGCTAAGTTTAAAAAAGTTCCTATTGTAAATCTCTTTCTTGTGATGGTTTCGTTTACGAATGGTTTTGCTTTCTGGAATGTCACATACCTTGCAGGACCCATTCTACCACGCAACAACAAGATGCTGTCGGCTGACACGCCAGTCGACCAAGTAGCTAGGATCATGGCGGCCAGTAACTCCGGGCTGGAGGTGCGCGACCGCATGTGGCTCAAGATCGTC